GATGCCCTTGTTAAAGGACTTATCTTGCTTTTGAATGTTGAGTAAGATGTTTAGAGGATGTGAATAAACCCGTCCAGAGCAAGGTGTTAGAGAGGCCTGTGCAATTATTCATTTTATCTCTTGTTCCTTTTCCCCACACCCTACTCCAGAGTGTGAGTTTCTCAAAAGCTGTGACTGGGCTTTATTTGTTTGCACCTTATGCTGAGTGCATTGCCTAGAACAGAGTAGGTGCTCTAAAAATGCTCGATGAATGATAAATAAAAGACGTTCTTTGCCCACATGCAGTTTGATCTTATGACCTTTACATGCTAATGCCCCATTCAACCTTGTACACAACTTACTAATTACTATGATTCTTTCCACAATAGTACAGTTGCATTTCCTCAGCCACAGAGGAATAGAGCTTTTCTCCCATTGAAAATAATCTAAAAAATAGCTATCACATGCCTGAGAATGGTAAAGGCAGGTCTACACTTTTGAAGGCAGCACATGGGATGATTTTGGTGGCATCCACGTAGCTCCTACCAGGACCTTTAACAAAATAGTGAAGGAGGGAGGGTTGATCTTTAGGCCCCTTCCATCTCTTTCAGGTCCCCTATCCTGTGCTCTGTGTCATCCTTTCCTTTGTCATCTAAGAAACTGATGATATCCCTTACAGTTCAAAGTCCTACCTTTCCTCTCCATGATCTGTGCTCCCAAGTTTCTCTTCTCCTCCACTCCATTAACATATCTGTGTCCCCACTGGCTTATCTCTTCTAGGGGTCAAACTATCTTTTTGTGCAATTTATGTTGATTCATGAATGATTGACAAACATTCATCCCTTGGTTTTCTTTCTAATTAAGACAAAAAATATTTAACCAAAGTGATTTTTAACTAGTAAAATAAGAAGTACTACTATTCTGGTTGCTGAGGACAAAATATCAAGCCAAGTCCATGCCCTCATCGAACTTTCATTCTTGCTATGGAGAGATGAGAGACAAAGAAATCAGTAGGATAATAAGCAAGCCCTTCAAGCTCTGTCTTAAGTGCATCAAGTCCTTCAGTATGGGATCTATTGGAAAACTGCAGATTCCACAGGTCAAATTTCAATGGGAAGGCTCTGTTGGCTGCTGCTGCTGCTGCCTTCTGATCTCAGTGGCCCACTTACTTTCTCTGAGGGCCCTGGGAAGTTATTTTCTTTGTTTACAAGAGAGCTTAGGCGGTGATGTGGTGGATCGGAAAAAGGGGCTCTCCTGAAAGAGGCTGCTGAGGCCTTTTCTTGTATGGTAAGGAATTGGAGTTTACATTTATTGTTTCACCCGCAAAAGCTCTAAGAAATAATGCCCTTACAAAAGATGGCTCAGACATCCCTCCTCTGCCATTTGGGGATAATGACTGTTACCTGCTACCCAGGCTGACCGTGGGGAGCAGGCAAAGAAGTAAATGTCCTTGCCCAGTGGCTGTACACAGGAGGTACTCAGGATAGGTTTGATACTTTTCTGTTTCTTCCCTGATATTAGGGGAAAAATAAATGCACAATTGTCATATAAGGGCAATATTGAAGGCAGTGTCATATCTCCAGCTCAATAGAACGAATATAGTGACAGAAGTGGCCAATTCATTGGTGGTGCAGAGGAGATGATCATAGATATGTTCTTTGTAGTATTTGAGTTGGACTTTGAAGAATGTGCAGGATTTACTCAGATAAAGAAAGGAGGTGGGCTAAATAGAAGCAATTGCACGTGCAAAGGCACAGAAGCTTAAAACAACATAGTTCCATATTACCAGAAATTAGAGTGCATTTATTCATTAGTTAATTTATTTATGTGTTCTTTCAGCTAATATTTATCCACTATCTACTATGCATTAGGCACTTACCAGGAGTTTTATTTATGTTATTTTTACCTTATGTCTTACTGCAAGTTAAACCTACAGAACTCGCTTCTTACCAGCTCTTAACAAGCAAAGGGTGATGTATTAAAGAACTACATTCAGCTGGAGAACACTGGTCTGAGTAATTCTGAACCTGCTCAGGACTTCCTGAGTCTTTTTCTGACTTATAGAACCATTTCGCCACTACCTTTCCCAGCTCCAGAGGAAGCCTCCTTGTTTTCTTGCATATAATCCGTGTCCTACAGTCATCTTCATCTAATGAACAGCAGAAGACTATAACCAGTAGTGATGGCAAGAGGAACAGCCAGAACTTTCCTTACCTTTAACTTCAGACCCATGGAAGCTTGGCAGATTCTGCTGCATACCCCTTACTGAAGTGAGGTAGAATGTGCTTTGTATTTCTACAGTGATGGCACAATTCTAAGCAGGTATTTGGGGCTCATAAAAGCCTCACCAAGTTCCATGTCTCCAGCTTTCATCCAGAGCCACAAAGAAGTTAGGTTGTTAAATCCCTTTAGGAATATTCTATCTTTGACATAGACCCTTGAGTGGACGAGGGTAGAAAGACTGCATCAGGAGTAGATTTGGCTACTTACAATGGAAATTAAAATAAATAGATTAAAGAAGACAGTGGTTTATTTCTCCTGTCAAGGAAATGCAAGGCAGCCATCCAGGGAGAAAGGGGAGCATCACCATCATCCAAGGTCGTTCTTCTCCTATCATTCTGCTCCGCCATCCTTGGTATGCATCTTCCCTTTTCAAGTTCAACTCATGTTTCAAGGTGGCCATTGAAGCTTCAGTCCAAGAATGAAAGGCAAGGAGGAAGAGCAAAATGGAAGTTCCTGCCCACTGCCTGTCCTTCTTTTAAGGCACTCTCCGAGGATTTCCACTCAGTAATTTTTACTTCCATCTCATTGACCACTCCCAGCTGCAAGGAAGGATAAATATGAACTTTTAGTTGGGAATATTTTCACCTGGAATAAAATCAGGCTTCTTTCTGAGAATAAAAAGAAGAGAATGGCTAGGTAGATGAGACTCAGGGCCACTGCTCAGCTCTTGGAGTCAATAATCAAGTTCCATTGGGCTTTGAAGTCTCCAGAGTACATCTGGGACTTGAAGTCGGGGGAATAAGGCACAGAGTAGGTATCTTTTCTGCTATAACTTCCAACTCTATTCCTTTTCCAGACACCTGGATAAAACTGTTCTGGAAAGTTAACTAACAAAATATAATAAGCATCAGTGAGAATCTAAGAGTCAGCATCAAATAGGGAATGGGAATTCCCAAGAAGTTCCGTAGATGCCATCCCTCCTAACCACAGAAGGCATATGAAAAAGTTTTTTAACTGAGTGGAACTAAATAGAGGGAAAGAATCATACTCTTTTCCCAGGTAAGGAATATTTAATTTACCAGTCATTTGTTGACTGCCTGCTGGGCAATGCCTGAATAGTTATACAAGGCATAGAAGAAAAAAAATATGATATGATTCTTTCTTTCAAGTTCACTGGGAAGATAAAACATATAAAACAGTTACTACTTGAAGTAGGTAGTTCAAATCCCTTTAAACAAATCAAATAGGTCAGTAATGGGGCTATAGGGGCTGCAAGAACAGGGAGAGGCACAGAGGCTGATGGACCATGGTGAGTAGTCCAGTGTGTAAAAAGAGGACAGGTAGACAAGAATATCATTGTGCAGCCCAGCAGTGCAATCAGGATCCATTACGAGGCATCAAGCCGAAATGAAGAAGTCGGAAAAGCTTGGAGTTGAAGTGGGTGACTCAGAGTTGGTGTCTTGATATCCAGCCCAAGAAAGAAGGTAGAGTAGGAGTTTGGTTATTAAGTCAAATGTTGGGGTGAATAATAGTAGAAGAATGTGGTACAGACTAAGACACCTTTTTCTAGAGTTTAGCACAAACAAGTCTACTTAACATGGACAGAGATGAGATTGATGATCACGGGACAGGGACCACGCTCCCTCCACTCTGATTCTAAGCCCCCTGCTTTAGGAAAGCAGGTATGTCCTGGGAGTTATGTGCAGCAAACAGGAGTCTATGGGAGGTTCGCAGTGTGATTGCAGGCCAGGCGGAGACATTGTCAGATGCACCTAACAGTTGCACGTGAGACTACCTACTGCCTGATGCTGGGTTAATTGAATGTCTTCTACTAACAGTCCCTCTATTTTTGGTTGACCTCACTTGAGATGGTAGCTTTGACATTACACCTAGGGAATCTCTGATTTCCGGAGAGAACTTTCAGACAGTTGGAGGAAAGACCTTACTGAAGTTTGAGGCACCAAGCTCTTCACCTCTGTAACAGGTGTGGGGCAGAGAGCCTCATGCCCAGGCTGTATAGTCAGGCAGCATAAGCTCTTTGTGGTCTCCACAGACACCAACAGTAGGTCTTCTTTTCAGTGACTAGGTCAGAAATATATTGCCCTTCGGGAGCAAGCAAAGTTAAGACCTGAGTATCAAGGTGAGATTAATGACCTCGCAAAAGATTGAAATAATTCTTTACATTGTAGTAGAAGTAGGTAAGCATGAAGTAGAGTGGCAACATTTACAGTGTGCTTACTGTGTGCCCTCCACAGTGTCAAGTGCTTTTAGTAGAAGCAGCTACCAGTTTTTGAGCATCTCCTATGTGCCAAGCAGCGTGCTAAGTGCCGTGGGAATATAGCTTCTACTTTTAGGACATCATGCTTGACCCCACTTTTTGTAGCTTATCACAACCCTGCAGGTCACATACTATTGTTTGATGTTTTGCATATAAAGAAACTAGGGCTCAGAGTGGTTAAATGACTTGCTCAGAATATCAAATCAATTAAGTGACAGAGTTAGAATTCTCTCCCTGGACATTCAGCCCATGATCTTTCTATGATACCCACTGTAATTTCTTGAGAGCAGACGCCACATCCTTTTTCATCTTTATGCACCACTATTAGAAAAATAGCAACTGGTGTTGCTGCCATGATGAGGATGAGCATGCTGAAGAATTGCCTTTGGAACCCTTTGCTAACAATGAGACTTTGCTTTCAAGATGGAGTCTTCAGCTCCAGCCACATTTTGATTGGAGTGTTGGATTTCCTGTCAGGTCCAGAGCTTATTGATTTTATTTTCCTTGCTTTCTCTTGCAGCAGCTACCTTTCAGGTATCTGACTGAAGTCACGCTGAGACTTAGAAACCTTGTGGCCTCGCGGTTTGAGATTCCCTGCGCAGGCAGTGCGGCGACAGTTCTTGAAGGTAATTAGCTCAGTTGACCTCCCTCTTCTCTCAAAGCCTCAAGAACTTGGCCAGAGAAGCTGTGGAAAGTGTGAGGCAAGAAATTAAATTTACCCTGCTCAATAGTCATCAGTGAGCAAGCTGAAGCACTTTCTGACGGCAAGGGCCGGCTGCCCTCTGTGTACAGAATCGCCCTACTGCCTGGGGTCATGTCAGGAAGGCTGTATGCTGATCTAACCATTACCTCACCACCCCTTGAGAGATTCGTGGGGCCTGGAAGGAGCACAGGAATTGGTGGAAAGGCTCCAGCTCAGCCCACCTGCTTGGACGTCACGGGGCCAAGACAGTCTTGGTTGCTCTGATAGCAATGTCACAAATCAGGAGACCTGGCTGCCTTGTGGTGAGACCGAAGCTGCAGCCCAGAGCCTGTACAATCACCTTTATGCGCTGGCGATTGTAGGCAGCACATCTCTCCTGGGGCGATCACACATATTTACTGATGTGGAAGCACTGATCTCATTGCTTTTTAAATAACACACCATCTTGATAACTCATTAAATTCCAGTCATTTGCTGCTGGCTTCCCAGAATTCGGGAGAAGTTCTTACCTTCTTCTTAAGGTCTCTAATAAGGCCTTGACATTACAGAACACCTTCCTGAAAGAATCTCAAAGCTTTAATATAATTCATCCTATCCTCAATTTACAGGTGGGAAAATGGAAGCATCAATTAAACAACTTGCCTGTGGCACAGAGTAGGTGTGGGGGAAAACAGGTAGAACCTGGATAGGAGTATATGGGAACTCTCTAGACTTTCTGCTCAATTTTGCTGTGAACCTAAAACTGCTTTAAAAAATAAAATGTATTATTTTTTTTTTAGAAGGTAGAAGCTGCACCTAGCCACTAGGCATTCTCCCTAGGCAGACCATTTCTTGTTTGAGTCACAGAAGATCCAAGTCCTAGAATATTCATAACTTGCAAGCAATTGCTATTCCCCCACCACTGCTAACAACTTAGTTTATTTTCATTCATTTTTTACGTAATATAGTAACTTTCTTTTCAACAACAACTAGAAAGACCCAAGGTAGATTTTTATGCAGACTGTCTGGTACTGTGTTGGGCTTGCGGGGGTGAGGTGTAGGGAATGTAATTTTAAAGCCACTTGCATCATGTGCTAGGCCAATAGTTTATCCATTGCATCATATCGTTTTCCTTAAAGTAAAGAATGATCTTCAATTTAGTTCCAATTTCTCCATCCAGTTTGCTACATAATGTGTTGAATTAAAATGCAGCATATGCATAAAATACATTTTCTTTTTTTCTCGTTTACTTCACTGACTGCTCTTTCTCAGTCTCCTTGTCTTGATCCTCCTCATCTCCCAGATCTCTTAACATCAGAGCGCCCCAGGGCTCAGTCCTTGCTCCTCTTCGTCTCTCCCACCAAACTGACTCCCTTGGTGGTCCTACCCAACCTCATGTTTTTAATTGCTATTTCAAGCATATGCCTTCATTCCAGACCTCTCCATTGAACTCCAGACTTGCCTAGTTGACTTCTTCAGCTCAATATGTCAGAAGTAGCATTCCTGATCACCTCCTGCAAACCTGTTCCACTCACAGCCATCTCATACCTTTGATGACAACTCTATCTTTCAGTGTTCGGACCAAAATCCTTGGAGTCATCCTGGATTCCTCTCTCTCTCTCTCACTCCTCATTCCACCAATCAGGAAATCCTGTTGGCTCTACTATCAGAGTATAGCCATAATCCCACCACTTCCTACTGCTGCCATTGCTACCACTGTGGTCTGAGCCACCATTATCTCCAACCTGGATTTTTGCACTAGCATCCTGATTCTTCTCCCTTGAGTCTTTTCTCAACATGGCAGTCAGAGTTATTATCTTAAAATATTGTTAGGTTATCTTACTCCTCTGCTCAAAATCCTACAATGCCTTCCCATCTTCCTTGAGTAAAAGCCAAAGTCCACACAATGGCCTCAAGTCTCCACATGATGCAGCCTTACTTATGTCTCACGCTCCCTTCCCTCTCTGAGCTCATCTTCTGCTATTTTTCCCCTTGCTGACTCTACTCCAGCCAAGAACCAGATACCTCAGGCTTCTGCATATTCTTGCCAAGCAGACTTCCACCTCATGGCCTTTGCACCAGCTGTTTCTTCAGTCTGGAATGCTCTTCCTTTAAATATTTGCATAGTTAACCCTCTTACCTCCTTCAAGTTTTTCTCAGTTCTCAAGATGGCAAACTCTCCACATTAAATCCATAGAAATGATAGAAGAGATACTTTTTAAATTAATAAAAATATGTATTGTTGTTCTCAAAAGTAGAAGAGAATTCTCAGCACAATGGAAATAGTGAGCATTTTCCAAAAGACAGAAAGCAATGGGGTTGGATTAGAGCAGGAAACTGCAGCTCAGAATGTGAGCAATGGCCAGTAGAGAGCATTGCCATAGAAGGTGGAGCCGGCAAGAACTTGAAGAAGGTGAGAGGGTTAACTATGCACATATCCAAAGGAAGGTATTCCAGAGAGAAGAGAGTTTGGTGCAAAGGCCCTGAGGTGGAAGTGTGCTTGTGAGGAATAGGCGGGGACTCCATACCCAGGAACAGGGAAGCGAGGACCAGAGGAAGATCCCGATATACCTGAACCTTTAAAACTCTGCCTTAGTCTTCCCAGAGAGCACGTGGAGCCCATATCTCTGGTGCTGAGACTCCAACATGACAGATGTGGAAGGGAATAAGAAATTGGAAAAGGTAGGTCACTGCATTTAGTAAAAAGGAGATTATTTGGAACCTTAAACAGAATGGTGTAGAAGCATGGTTAGAGCAAAGTTTAAATTTTAGAATTATCCAGAAGAAACTGGAAAATCAGGATCAGTCAGTGGGTTTGAAGTTTAGACTCTAAACTACTAGTGTAGGAGGCTAAAGGTCTAGGAAAAGTGAGCTAGTATCTAGGGGAAATAAAGACAGTCCTCAGTGTAAAGGCTCATGGAAGCTGCCCTCCAATGCAGGTCTGCTCTGTTAATAAGAAAAAGGTTTGCTGAGGAGGAAAGCACCCCGTGGGGAGGAGGGATGGGGCATGCACCCTGGAGGGGAGAGGCGTGGGTTCTCTGAAGGGGTGTAAGGAGGTGGGTAGGTGCCAGGAAGGAGAGCACTATGGAGAGACCTCCTTGGAAGCACTTCACCGCCCCAGTCTCGCTCCCTTGGAGTAGAGTGAAGATTTCCCTCTCGGAGCACACATTCCAGAACTGTGGTGAGGGCAAAGCAAGTAACATGGGAGAAGAAAATGTCTTTTATTAAAAAATAAGTGAAAACCGTCAGTTACTTAATATAACTTTAATATTCCCTGAAAATACATGACATGACACACTTAGAATAAATCAAATAACAGCTTTTCTATGAATAGTTATAAATGATAACATATTACAGGAAGTCAAATATGGGGCAAAATTAGGTCTCATTAATGTCAAACTGAAAATATATAATAGATAAACATTTATAAAATACTTGAATATAAAAAAACCCAGAAACTGCATTGAAAGTGAAACCTACTTATATCACTGTGGGTTTCATAATACTTTCTCACCCACAACATTTCGGTTAATAACGCCCTGGCTTCCTGCCTTCAGCTGAGAGATTTCCACAGCCACCCTTTTGGAAAATGCCATAATGTGCCTTTGCTGCCCAATAATTACATGGGACAGTTGATCTGTGGGCCAATTTTAATGCAGAACACCTAATAACACGACCTCTTTCTCAACTCTTGACCTGTGGAACCGCCAATTCCTTTCTCTTTCTTTTTCTTATTTTTAGTCTGAACAGATTAAGTCCTTGCCTCATGTTTGACCATTCATTCATTCTCCATCTGTAAGCCATTCACGTAGTACTAGACACTGTCCTGAGCTCTGAAGATAAAAGACAATAAGGCACTGGCTGTATCTTCAAGAAGCCTGCTGTCTGGTGGGAGAGACAGATTATTCAAACAGGTCTTGGATGGGGTATTAAATGTCATAATTGCTGCTCTTAAGAGGGCTCAGAATAGGTATCCTAATCACCTAATCACCTAATCACAGTTAAGGCAGGGGTCTGGGTGTACATGCCCCTATACTAACTCTGGATTCAAATGGGATACGGGAAGGAGTTTCAGGCAAATGGAGTGGGTTGTCCAAGGGCTTGGAGACAAAGACAGTACAGTTTAGGTGGAAAGCTTCTCTGATTCTTCCTTGTAGAAGGAAACAGAGGGCCTTCCTTGGCATGGAGACTCCACTTCCTCATGGAAGCTCAGCAAGCCTGTGTTGGGTTACATGTGCTGGCTTCTCTTCCATTGCTTCCATAAAGAAGGTATGTTTCTCTGCAGCTCAGAAATATATGCAGTAAGGGTGAATACTGACAGAACTCAGAAGATGTGAGAAATATATTTGTGATGAACATAAGGCAAGCTGTCCATCCCTCTTTCCATGTGGGGGAAAGTCTGACACCTGCCAGGCACTAGACAGATGCTGCTATTACTGCTTCTGGAATAAACATAACGGCCACTTAGCATAGGCTCCAAACAACAAGAGGACCCCAGTGGGAAGGAAATGTGAGGCAAACTTCTGGAGCAGGCAGAGAAGCTCTGTTTTCCTCTGTCCTCATGTGGTGTGGTTTGCAGGGCCCTAAAAGACTTCCCTGGGCAGTATATATGCTCATCAGTTCTTGAGTTCCCCCCTGGTTAAAGTTTTGAAGTCATCTGTTAAAAAGCACAGATGTTATCAAGGTGAGCTAATTTATTAAGCTGATATCACGTGGTTACCCATAGCGTGAATTCAATGATATTAAGCAGGATCTGAGGAATAGGATGCAGAAGCAAGCAAGACTTAATGGAAAGAAGAAATTCAGAAAAGTATGGAGCATGGGGTAGGGCAGGTAGGGAGTAGTAACAAGAGGCTACTTGTGCCTTTTGGGGGAAGAGTTCTGCTTGAGAGCAGAAGACCAAAGGAGCAGGGGAACAAACACACCCACTTCACAACTTTGCAC